CTTTTTATGCAGTTAGCTTGGGGTTTTTCTTTGTGGCTTTTGTTGTTGCTGAACCTTTTAAATGCTTGGAAATTTATGCAAAGATTTTGGGGGAACAACTCTCATTCACTCATTCACGCTCTCCTCTCTCTCACACACACTCTTTCTCTCTCTCTCTCTTTGATTAGGGTCACTCGCGTAGCGCTTACAATCTAAATATTTACTATATAAATTAGAGCGCCAGCTTCAAGTGCCACTCAACAGGGTGTTTGATGTTGTTGTTGTTGTTGTTTACTGTTTGTTGTTTGGCCAACGCATTATCAACAAGCAGAACCAATAAATTTAGTTTAAATCTGTGCCCAAGTTCAGCAAATATTCTTGAGCAGTCCAACGGCAGCGACCCTTAATGGATGACCCATTTGCGGGCCAGCAGCATAATTTATGCATAGCATTAAAATGTTTTATGTGGGCTGGCCGATGAGAGCTGCAAATTCAATTGCGATGAATTCATGAGCGAAAAATATTTGCATTAGATAAACGCACAGCATTTGTCAGCTGATAGGAGTTATCAAGCGCGGCTGATAAGCAAAACTTAACTAGCTATCAGCTGCTCGTAACATTGCAGTTAGTTCAACATGTGTTTTTACGGCTGCATGTGGCCGGAATAACAACCAAGGGGCAAGAAGCGCAGAGCAAGTCAAAACAAAGCAAGTGGCTAAAGCAATATAGTCTTTCGTGCAATAAAATCGCCATATCATGCTGCCGTTTAAACTCCCACGCGGCTGCTGGGGTGGGAGTGCCAGTAGAGAGTGGGTGGTGGCTATGGGTGGTGGTCTGTTAGTACAGTAAAAGTCAAGAGTATAACAATAGCACGCAAGGCTAAACTGAGCCAAACCAATTGGCCGACAGGTAAATTGAAATGGCAGATATATACACAATACACACACACAACCACACCTATAAAAACAGTGATAGTTAAAATTATATATACATTCTTGTATAGCCACACTTGACATTTGCTGATGAAGCGCGACAAGCTCTAATGATCATTTAAGTGCCAGAGAAATGGATTAGAAGCGACTCCTGTAGGTCGTAGGCCGTAGGCTCCTCGGCAAATTGTGTTTGAGTTAATTAGGAGGGTTTGCCAAAGACTGCAGCGATAACAAAATCCTGCCCTCTCCACACACACAAAACTATTGCGCACATATGCAAATAACTTGCAGCTGCTTTCGCTGCGTTTGGCCTTGGTTTGGCGCTGCTTGTATTTTTAGCTGGCTGAAAGATTTTGGCGCTCTGATAAATGTGGGAAAACGTGCACAAGCTTTCCAGTTAACTGTTTGAGGCCAGGCTGGCTGGGCTGGATGGCTGGCTGAATGCCCAGGAGAGCTCTCGAAATGGGGGCAGCTAGGATAATTCGTATAAAATGCAGATTTGCTGCGGTGGCTGTTTGTGAATGGGTTAAGCCAAATGGCTTTTCGGGGCGCTGGCAGGTGGATGAAGTATATTTGCACTCAACCCATTGCTTTCCACTTTAAGTTTGTCCATTAAAACAGAAAAGTTGCAGATCCAAACAATGCAGCGCTGCAGATTATAAAACGTTGCACTCAAACTGCAGTCCAGAATTTGTTAATTGTCCAACTAACGGCAATTGGCTGAAATGTGCAAGTTACGGGCAAACTTTAAGTGGTCCGCAAACATCCATGGCTCATTTGTGCAGACAAGTTGAAAAAAAAACCGAACTTTGGAGCGGATTTGAGCTGAAAGATAAAGAGTTGAAGAAGCTAGCCAAGTGACAATAGTTAAATATTTGCTAAGAAGATAGAGAGAGAGAGAGAGAGAGAGAAAGAGAGAGAGAGAGAGAGAGAGAAGGCAAGAAACTCTTATCTGGCATAGTTGAAAGCATAAGAGATAGCATGTGCTCTGCTCACTTAATGAAAAGGGTATATTCGATATGTATTTATTATATATCAGTACTGATAAGTCGTTCACTAAAGAAAATGTTTAAAACTATTTTTAGGCACTCCCTATCTACGTTCAATATGTAAACAGTGTATTGTGCAGTCGATTATAGCCCACAGCAATTATTTGACTTGCTTTGATTTACTTCCCCAATAAAAAGCAAACCGTAAATATCATAAATGATAATGAACCTTATCGTGCCACTTGAAAGGGCAGCCAGCGATAGCTGAGGCGCTAAGAGACGTGGGATGATTGCTAAGACACACTTGAGATAGTAGAATAAGCATATATATGTATATGTGTACATATACTTATTTACTTGAGATGAAAACTTTGGCAGTGCATAGTATATTTGTTAAATATATATTTGTAAACATATTTATACTTTAGATGACGCTAATATCTAATAATATAATACAACATATAAAAAGTTAATATATTTTTCTAAAAGTATTAATATAACAAATATACTATATTTAACTATTGCCAAAGCTTTCATCTCAAGTATTATACACAAGCGTAAGCAAAACAATGAAGATTAATACATATATTAGCTGATAGTTACGACAATATCAACTACACAGTATACAAGTATCTAGGCCGCTTGTGTGGCATGTTTTAATAGGTCTAAATTGCTTTCGAGTGTCATTCGTTGAACGCGCGCGTAGACAAAATTTAAAGTGCAATTGAAAATTAATCAATAAAAGCGGTTGCTTTGTGCGCTGAATAATGTGTGCAGAAATATGTCTGTTGCCTGGATTTTATTGTTGTTCGGCTATTTGTACGACAGGATAGCTGGCAGGATACTCTGCCACGCTGCGGCTGCAGAAATCGCTGTATGACCGTGCCTTAATCAAATATCAATTGCATTTGTTTGGCTTCATATCGGAAAGTTTATTTACAGCCTTGGCCCGAAAATAATTGTTGGCCGAAACACATCTGCCACGCCCCAACGCCCAGTGTCGGCAACAAGGAAAAACAAATGGAGAAATCGCAGCCAGTGCAATGCATACAGCACAACAAAATCCGTGCTAACGTGGGCAACCGGAATTGCACGGCCCGGATGCAAGTATTTCGGAGAGCTGAGCCCGGTCCGGGTCGAGTCGAGTCCAACGCACATTTTCTGTTGTGCGGCAGACCGAATGGCGCCAATAAAACTTTTTCAAACATAAATTTGGCGAGTATCTGAGGGGGTTGGGGTAGAGGAGGTGTCAGCAAAAATAACGAACAAGAAAACAAGCTTTAGTTACAATTTGAAACAAAGCCCCGAGTGTAAGAGAATTTGGAGATGAAAAGTGGAGCAAGAACGTGCCAAACTAAAAATTATGACAGGCCAACACAGAGACGGAACGAGGATGTGAGCGAAGTATTTGGCGACACTCTGTGCACACTGTGCCTCCTCAACCTATGTGTGTGTGTGTGGGTGAGTTTGTTCAGTGCAATCAATGCAGTTGTTGTTGTCGAGTTCGTTTTCGTTTTGTTGACTTTAATCAGCCTCTCTGAGATGTAAATTAAGTGCCAAAAACAACAACAATATGTGTCGGAGCACAAGAAAAACACCATATAATGCAAATAATGTGCCGTTATATCTCTCGCGAGTATCAAATAATGTTGACAGGGTACCCGACCGACCGACCGCCCCCTAAAGCTCTCAGTCCTCGACCCACCCAGCTGTTCTGCTGATAAAACTTTTTTTTTTTTGTTTTTTTTTTACAGCTCTGTGTGACATTTTTTTGTCAACACTTTTGTATTGTTTGGGTTGTATTTGCCGTCGCGACTCCCGCTCGCATTTACATAGGCAAGACAAATAAAAATTCAGCTCTCCCTCAATCTCTCTCTTGTATCTTTTCGCTCTGCTTTTCTCTCTCTCTGTCTCTCTACGTCTGCTCGAACAAACGAATAACGATGAATTTTATCATTTCGTATGCAAATCGCATTTGCCATAAAAGACCATGTTATGGACAGTGTGCGTAAATAAATTTGTTTGTTGCTCACTCCCTTTTCCTGCGCCTCCCGCTGCGTGGGCCGTTAAATGTATCACCTGAGACTGGGCTGCTGATAAAGCTGTCACTTCTCTTGAAAAGGCGGTGCAAAGCACCGAAAATGAAAATGCTGATAGGGGGTGAGCCCTACAATGATTCATTAAACAACAAGTTCGAGTGAGTAACACGAGTTAGAGGGTCAGAGAAACAGAGAGAGAGAGAGCAAGAGTGATTAAGAAAAAAATCTCATTCACACAGTTTGACATTCACTGAACAGAGCGCTTACAAATCGAAAATCTGATCGCTCTCAATGTCAAATAAATGCAAAAACAAACACAGCGTAAATATTACAGGCTGTTAGCTCACACACACACACGCACACACACTCCCATATACAGATGTTGCTTAACATTGCCCGCTTGCGCCATGTGGCTCAATGTGAGCGAACTTCAATTGAAGTTTCAGGCAAAAACAACACAGACAAAGAGAAAGAGAGAGAGAGAGAGGGAGAAGGAGAGCAACTGAGCATAGTGATGGGAGAGCTTGGAAGTTGGCGATGCGGCTTCCAAGTGTGCAAAAGCAAATAACAAAAACAAAAGAAAGCATGTAAAAAGAATAGCAAAGAATATAACATAATAGAATGTATCCATACAGCTTTGTGTATGGAATGTACGAATGTATATGTATGTGCATATGTATATAGTATAAGTTATATATAAGTGTATTGCTATTGTGTTAGCATGTTTCTACTTTCGCATAAATTTTAATAATTTAAATGTGCACACACGAACGTTTTCAAACTCACGCATGTTGTATAATATATGCACATACATACATACATATGTATAATGTAAATATGTGTATATATGCACACATACATATGTACATATGTACATTTTTGTCGCTGCCGGCAGCGAAGTCAAAGAACAAGTGTGTGTATTTTTATAATTTCGAATAGTGGCCGGCAGACAACAGCTGCTCTCCCGGAGCGCCACGAGGCACACGCACGTGTGGGCGTATGGGTGTATGTGTGTATGGTTATATGGGTGTGTGTATATATTTATAGGACGTTTCACTTACCAGTGTTGCAAAAGTCGCAGTCACCGGCCTCATACGCCGGCCGCAGCGCTCGAACGGGCGCACATTGGAACGACTCAACAGGAGCTGACTAATGTTGCCCAGTAAGATGAGGCCGTGCCTGGACATGCTGGGACGGCTCGAGCTGGAGTTGCAGTTGGAGCTGAAGCTGGAGCTGGAACTGGTGCTAGTGCCAAACTTGGAACTTGCCACGCGAGATCACAGCAACAACAACAACTAAACAATTCACTATGATTCACGAGAGCAGGAAACGAGGCGCTGCTGCAATGACGAGGGCTGAGGTGGCGAATGGGTGGAAGAGGGAGACAGAAGCAATGAGTAAGATCTACTGCTACTATCTCCGTTCTTGCTATTGTCGCTGTTATTATTATTATTATTGTTGTTGTTGCTGTATTTTCACTTAGCTGCTGATCAGAGTTGGCGCTGCTTGAAACTTCATTTAAAATTGTTTTAAGAACTCAAAAGATATTTGCAATTTGGACATTCGATAATTTAGATCTGCAAGTATTTATGGTTGGATTGTAAAGATCACAACTACATTTACAAATATTGCTGTTCTGATTTGAGTACCAATAAATAAATGAAAGAAACCAATAGTTCCGAAATTTTCCAAACGTCGCCTATACAAAAAAAAAAAAAGAAAAAAAAAAAAGATTTGGCTGCTTTGACTTTTTAAATCCGACTGATAGAAATTTAGTTATAATGTTTATGTTAAACAAAATGCAACAGTGCCACAACAACAGTAACAGTAACAGAAACAACAGAACAACAACAGCAGCAACAACAAGAACAACAAAGACGACGCGCAAAAAGTTGGAAAGACGAGAATCAGACAATGAGGCAAAGGGTAAGAATTTACCGGTTTTAACTTTTTTTGTTTTTTTTTTTTCACTTTGGGTGTTTGCTGTTTTCACTAAGAAACTAGACGCGGCACATGTTTCGCACAGAAGAGAGAGATAGGATTATTAAATATGCTTTAGCTATTGATATTAACTGCGTTATATGTATTTTTATCTTTTGTATTATAAATATTAAATTAAGCTCGAGCTGCGGCTTTGCCGATTATTTTGTTTCGCACTTTGCACTCGACTCTGGCATTGACTTTGGCAGCGACGTCACTCTACGGCACTCGTGATGGTGGCGGCGGCTTTTTTTCTATTGCTACACGGTGTCTATTATTTAATTGAAATTCTAAATTTATAAAGCTTAGGCTCTAACGAAAGCAGCCGCAATTCGCCAAACGAAGTAGCCGAACCGCGCGCGTGTAAGAATGATAACAGACTGCTGTTAAAATCCAATCAGACAGCTAGACCCCCTTTGGCGCAATCGCATGTTGGCAGTTCGAAAGTTCGACAACAGCTGAGCTGTCTGGGCTGACAATCGGTGCCGGCTGGTATGCACACACAGGTTTCGATAGAAACTGGCCAGACAAAAATGAAATAAACTACATTGCTTTTTTGTCTATATTTTTAATTCACAGAAATATAATGTATTTTCATTTAGTTTTTATATATAAGAAATATACATTTTTTTTAACAGAAAGTTTAGCATAACACTACGCTAGGTGGCTGGCTGTTCAATGACAGTCTTCGTTGTGTTTTTTTCGTTAAATGTAAACTAAAATCTACCGATATGGCAAGGCCAAATTGAGCGAATACACTGTACTGGTTTGTGTACTGGCTAAGCAGGGTGATTATGGATAAGTTGATCTGGCGCCAATTTTTGAATAAATAAAAACACAAAGTGCATTTAAATTTTCGCTTTTATTATTGTCGCATTACGAATCTAAACTTTTAACTAGTTTATATATATTTATATATATATCCAACTATACAATATATATACTATATATAGAGCTTTGCTTAGTGCTTTAAACATAAAACTAGAAAGGTTTCATTTAAGCATTTTCCTTGTCGTTCGATGCGTTCGCCTAAAAACATTTACAATACGCACTTAAAACAAATAGCAGCCTTATTCAAATATATATATATATCTATATCTATATATGTAACATAGGTATAGCACTCGTAACTGTTAAGACGGGCTTCACAGTTTTGGCATGGATTAAAATTGTTAATCAAATATAGTATACAAATTGTTGAAAACATAAATATTTATATAGTTCAGCTATTAATATTTCTGCAATTGTTGTTGTTGTGTGTGTYTGGAGTCTTTGATAAGTGAGTTGACAACAAAATTGTTCTGAGGTATTAACGAAATGAATCAAGTCGCAGTTAATTGGGCGCATAATTACCGTTACAAACGTTTGCGTAATTGGCTCTGATTTTTATGGGTTTTACACACATTTCCTCTCTCTCCCTCTCTCATGTTTTAATAATTCATGTTTTTTTTTTTTTTTGTTTGTAATTTTTCTTTGTCTGTTTTTTTTCTAGCATAATATTTTTGAACAACTAACAAAGCGCATGAAATGCATTTATGCATTTATTCATGATGCTTTTCTGCTATAGATTACAATGCGCTGGCAGCAGAGACACACACACACACATACATACACTCATGCACAGATTCCATTATAGTATTTACACAATTACGCACACCTATACAACACACACACGCACACAGACACACACATGCGCTAGTTAACTGTTTTTGCATTCAGCTGCCAACTGCAGCGACATCATTAAATTGCAACAACAACGACAACGACAACAAGCTAGATTTATGCATATTCAAAGTAGCTAATTATGTTTTTTTGTTCTTTTCGCTCTGTTGTTGTTTTTGTGTTCGCTGTCGCTGTCGCTGCCTCTGCCTCTGCCGCTGCTTCTCTCGCTGCTGCCAGCACGCATAGTTCCAGGCGCTGCCGCTGCCGCCGTCAGCTGTAGCCAGTGCAACTGTTTCCTGAGTTTCGCACGCATTTTGCGATATTTGTTGCCGCCAATGCCAATTCCTAGACCAATTCCAAGTTCGACTGCGCCAATGGCCACGCCTCCAAACAGCTGCTATCACGTGCCCGTCGACAAATCATCCTTGAGCCACTGGGGTATGGGACGTGAGCCGAGCTTCTTCAGCAGCTTTACCAGCGCCGTATTGTGGTTCAGATAGTAGCTAAAAAGGGTGAGAGAAAAAGGGAGAGCATGAGTTAAGCAGTGCACAAGCAAAGACAGCTTTCGAGTTCGAATTCGCATTTGCATAACAGATGTAACGGCTGAACCAGCTGCGGTTCGCTGGAACTTGTTGATTGTTCACGACGATTCAAATTTCAAATTCGAAATGAGCTGATGAATTTCAGTTATGTATTGCCAAAGTAATGCGAATTTAAGGTATAGTAATAACTCCTTGTCAGATCTGGGCAGATATTGCATATTTCTCTGTCATTCGAAACGAGCTACATCATGCACTAGTGCCACATCATCTGTCAGTCTAATGAACTCCCTAAGCTGCTGCTTCAGCTGCTGCTGTTGCTTGAAGTGCTTCGGGTTTCCTTTTCATATTTGATGCTCGGTTCATTGTGATGTCTAATAAAAGTGGCTCGTTTAGCCGCCTGCTCGAATCACTGAATATAAAAAGGGCTCACGCCAAACTGACAGCTGGCATCCGGAATTGCAGTCGTACAGCAAAGTGCACTTTCCATGGCCGCAAAAATGCCGCATCCACACACACACACACACACACACACACACACACACACAAAAACCTGCCGCTTCTCTGAGAGCTCCTGCCTCTTAGTGACGCCCACAACTATTCTATCTACCATCTCACACACACATGCTCACACTGCATGTGTGGGTGTGTTCATTAATCCTTCACTCAAAGCAGCAGCGCCGACGTCGTCATCTGTCTGTCGCCCCAAAACCAACCCAAATCACTCATACGACCCGTTTTTTATTCCGTTTGCATTCGTTTTGTGTTTTTTGCTTTGTTTCAGTTTTTTTAGTTTTTTTTTACTCATATTTTTTGTTCTTTTTTGGTTTTACTTACCGCTGCAACAGCTTGGCACTGCGCTCATCCATTTGGGGATATTGGCGCCCCTTGGACTTGCCGAGGCATTTATTGCGCTTCTCGCTGACAGCCTGGCAGTAGAAGCCCTTTTTCACATCGTAGCGCAGGTGATTGGAATAGTCGAGGAGCGGTTGGATTTTCAAAAAGCGCTGCAGCTCGTTCATCACATCGATGGGATTGAGGCGCAATTGCTCGCCATCGATGATGTGCAGCTGCTGGGCGGGATAGTAGGCCAGCCAGTGCTCCAGGTGCTGTGCGTATTTGCCCGGATTCAGGCAGCGATTACGCAAATCCTTCAGAGCGCGCGGTGCCGAGTCGCTAGCCGTTATGACCTGGCCAAAGAAGCAAATGTCAAAAAGTTAAAGACATACGACATACGATACGATGTATATACATATACATATATATATACCCATACTTATATAACTCAAGTTCATGTGCTGTGACCAATTTAATGGTCGACTTCAGACATTGGGAGACATCGGGTCGAACACATGTCAAAAATGTTGAGCAAGGCAAGCAAAAGGCTGAGGGGGCAGCAGCAGGGGCGTGGGCGTGTCACTGCAAACATGTGTTAAGCTGGCCAATGCTGCATGCGGCAGGTGCAACTAAATATGCTGCAATTGGCATTGCACTCAGCTGTTGGCCAAAAAGGAATCTGCATGCAAATCGAAAAATGATGCCGACAAGTTGCTTCACTCTAAGGCGACAACAGTCCGAGTGGGGGGCGTGGTGACATGGGAGGTTTGGGTAAATAAAATCGAAAAGCGATTTTGTGGAGCGCCAAATGAATTTTCATTTTGAAGAGCTGCTCTCCAAACAGCAATGGCAATGGCATTGGCAATAAATGCCACATCAAACCAGTTGCAAGTGCAGCTTGTGGTTGCGTTGCATGTTCTGCTTGGCTAAGCTCATGCTGAATTGATGGATAGTTCATTAGATTTCTGTGCATTTGCAGCTGACAGCTGTTGACTAATGAACCAAAAACAATCTTGCCAAAAACAGAGCTGGTCAGAGCTGTGTGCGTGTGTGTGTGTACGTGTGTGTGTCACTCATTGCATTGCAGAGTCCTGCTTCGGATATATTTATGCTTTGGCAGGAGTCGAGGTAGTTAAATGGTTGTTGCACTCACAGCTTAATTGCTGACAAATTCTTGTCCCAACTTTATTTGAATACTCTTGGAGACTAACACTTAAATTGCTATGAAAATGAAACTCTTGCACAAAGTTTGTGGAAAATTGGCATAATTGGGAATATACAAGAACTTATTATTCGGGCAATTGTTGCTGAAGAACTTAGGACTTCAATGTCGTTCAGACTTTGTTGATATCTAAAGAACATTTTCAAGTTTGTTTCAGATTTGTGTTTGGAAGCGTAGTAAGTGCTAAATTAGCTTGCATTATATCTATGTTATAGCTGATCTATGTTGAAACTGAGAGAAAGAGAGAGAGAGAGAGAGAGAGAGAGAGATATAAGGAGAAAGAGAGAGAGTGAGAAGGAAAAGATGAGAGAGGTAGTGAGAATTATAGACGGAGATAGACAGACAACAGACATAGTGGAGTGAGACAGACCGAGTGAGGATTACAGACAGAGAGAGAAATAAAAAGTGTGAGAGAGAGAGAGAGAGAGAGAGACACAGAGCGAGAGAGTGAGAAGATAGTTCATATAATGCTCAGCTGCAAATGCTAGCCAATCAGATCTAGAGGCATATACGTCTACAGTTTAGGTATTCATACGCATTCCTCAAGCATTCACACATTCACTCTCTCCCTCTCGCCCTCTCACCAGCTGTTATATACTCTGAAGCACTCACCTGATAGAAACTGTAGTTGTTCGCTATGACATCGCCGTGAGCGCGCTGATGCTGATACCAGGAGTAGGCGCGCTTCGCTGGCGATATGAGAATGGTCACGATCTTGGCATGGGGCAGGAGAGCGTGCGCCCGCTTAGGCACCGCCTCGCCGTCGAAGTAGGTGGCGCTCTTCTCGAACATGTAGCGCGGCGTGCCCACGGCAGTGGGCATGGGGGAGCTGGTGTTGGGCAGCGTTTCCGAGGGAAAGAAGTCCATGTACCAGTCGAGGCCGCGGTAGTAGTTGTTGCCATTGAAGAACTGCACCTCCTCGAAGGTGTCCGGGCTGGGTATGTTGCTGGCCACGCTGCCATGCATCGAGAGGAATGTGTAGAGGGCGGTGGTGCCCGTCTTCTGCGGCCCAATGACCAGGAATTTGGGCAGGGAGTCGCAGCTCTTGGTCTTCGACCAGATCTTCTTGTGGCGCGCATCATCGCAGGGATTGCCCCACACGGGATCCACCTCCTCGGGATGCAGGCGGAAGTACATCTCAGCGAGCTGAATGGGCGGTGCCGAGGCCAGCTTCAGATTGGTCCAGCACTGCAGGAACTTGATGACCGATTGGAATGTGTAGAGCGCCAGGCGATCGGAGCCATAGTTGGACATGTGCGTCATAAATATGTTGATGGGATTGTAGACGATGGTCTGGAACAGCTCGCCGCCCTGTATGGACTCGTCCAGCTTATCCCGCCCACCCGGATACCTATCTATGTACATGGTGTGGGTGAACAGGCCACACGTCTGCCGCGGCAGCACCATTATATTCCGGTGGATGAAGCCACGGCGCAGGCGAGCCGGCCGCAAATGCGGATACTCCTCGGTGGAGGTGACCTTCACGTTCCACACCTGCTTCCAGGCCATGTAGAGCAGCTCGTGCGCCGGATAGACACCCGAATGATGCGGCGATATGGAGTAACCGGAGCTCGTGGGAATATTGTGCTCCTTGGCGAACGCAAAGTTCATCTGCATCTCGGCCATGAGCAGGGTGAGGTTGTCGTAGAGATGCGGCTGCTGGTGCTTCCACATGTGCGAGAACCAGTTGAACTCCTGCACATTCTGCAGCAGGAAGTCGTCGCCCAGATTCTCCTCCCGGGTGCCGTGATGGTAGTACTTGCCGGAGAAGCCCAAATTGAAACGGAACCCGGGCACCATGCCGCCAATGATCTTCTGCGTGGCAATCAGAGCGCGCACATCGTCCGGCCGCAGCCGAGTGCCCTTCTCGCCCACAAAGATGTCATCGATGTCCACCAGGATCATGCGCTCCAAGCTGAGACTCAGCTGGCCATGACTGAGGTAGCTAAGTGCGTCGAGGAACACCAATCGATGCAGCCAGAATCGCAGACTGCTCCCAAAGAGCACGCGCTGTATGCCATCCAGCTGGCCGCGATCCTGCAGCACCGTGGTCAGCGGCAGCTGCACCTGACCCACACTGTCCGCCGGATACTCCTGGGTGTTGCGCTGCGCCCACTCCACCGGCTCGTAGGTGCTGTGATTGTGCTGGAACACCGCCCAATCGTCGCCCGGCAGGGCACCCCAGGCCGTTTCCCCAGCACGCGTGAGACGCAGCACCGAGGAGCTGGGATTCAGGCTGGCGTCTCGCAGTCGCAGGTTCGTGTGCACAAAGAGCGGAAAGTCGCGCAGCTGGGCACCGACCAGCGTCTCCTCGCTGGGACTGACGAAGCCCACAATGCCCACAGAGTATTCGCGGCAATACTTGTCCAGCAGCTCGCGATTCCACTTGTCCATGTTGAGATACTTGTCCAGATTCTCAAACACAATCACGCCATAGCGGCCCTTGTCCAGATTCGTCAGCACCGGCAGACTCTTGCCGGCCACCTCGATTTTATATCTGCAAGAAGAGAATAAACACAAAGAGACTGTGAGATAACGCGAGCGACAGTTGAATATTTGAGATGCTCGCCGCACGTATTATAGCACCCCCGACTAACATGGCAATCGTAGAAAGAAATGGAAACTGAAACTGCTCGAGCTTGCAGCAGAATCCCCTCAGAAGCTGTCAGAGCCAGGGGCGCAAAAAGAGGGTGCCAGACTTCATGTCAACCTTGACATGCACATAGAGACACGATGGAGCACCGAAAGAGAGAGACAGTGCAGGAGTGAGTGAGAAAGCGCTACAGTTCACTTGGCTTCACACAGCGTTGCATGTGACATCAGCTGTCAGAAGCTATTTGCTACAACACTCTGGCAATCAAATGCTTTACACTCCATAAACTATTAACACGCACAGAAATACATGAGAATGAAATTGATTCGAGCGGGCTATGCTTGAAATTTTAATAAATATTTTAAACTTAATATTTGATTAAACACTTTAGTCAAATTTGCATTGCATGCTGGGATTCGCTTATTAATATTCATAAATATTTTACTCGCACACAAAACATGCGCATACCCTGTTGTTGTCATGGTGTGGGTATATTGAAGTTGACATAAATAAGGACATTGACAAGTTGGATATGATCTAGTTTAAACTAATAAAATATATTATAATATGATATGTCTTGTGTTTTATATATTCTTTTTTTTTTTACTTTTTGTTTTGATTT